CTTGGAGACTCTCTCTGTGTGTGTGCCTGGGCTTGCACTGTGATGATAATGATGATGAACTGTTTTTTTTTAGTAAGGAAAAGGAAATAATAATAACAGATGAATTTATATTTATAATTGCGTGTATACACACATATAGACTTATACCCATAGTTGGTGTATTTCTTTGTGTTTACTGGGTAAATTGGGCTAATAGTTAATATCTGTATTTTTCTTTGCTGTTTGTTTGCTGGGTTGTTGTGTTTCTTCTTCTGCAGCAATGATGATGTTGAGTCCTTGGAAAAATAAGAGAGTAACAGAGAAAGATAGTATTAATTTTTTTATTAGCTCAAGCATACGCTCAGTTCTCTAGATTGTGTATTGTGTGCTCTGAATTTCTTTCTTTTTTGTTTTGTTTGGTCTTTAGTGCGTGTGGTATCACTCTATTCTTCTTTTTATTGTCTGTACTGTACTTTTACTGCTGTTTTTGTTTTGCTCTTTTCTTTTATTTATACTGTGTTACAATTGTTTTTGTTCTTCTTTTTTGCAGTTAATTGGTTCTAAACAACACAATATACTTTTTTGCCGAAATGATACTTCTGCGACGTCTGTTGTTTATTATGGTTGTGGTGTTAAGTGTGGCATGTGTGGTGGCAGGTGAGGCACAACAAGAACCGGGTGAAGTCACTGAAATGTCTCAAATGAATTCGCATCCTTCTGTAGGTTCTGGAGTACTTCCTGCTGGTGATGATGGTGATGATGATACTTGTAAAGCTAAGCCTCCTACTTCAGACTGTTTAAGTAGCCGTAATGAACCTGTAATTCCTCCTGCTGAATGTGCGGACTCTCATGAAAAGAAAGGTTGCACTACCACTACTCTTAAACCCAAAGAGAGTTGCGCTGACGGTGGTAAACCTCCTTGTCCACCAAAGGCAACGCAAGAAATGGGTTCTGGTGAAGATCATCGAAAAAATGATAGCGAACATCCAGCTCCCATTGGTCCAGTTGTTCCTGCAGATGCCGGGGATTCTGTTTCTAACGGAGTACGTGAAGATAGGGCTGAAGCACGTCCCGATGGTGCTCCAGGTGAACAAAATCTTCGGGATACTCAACCTGGAAAAGAAACTGAAGCTTTTCCTTCCCCTGCTGCACCTGAACCTGTCGATAAGAGTCCTGCTGTACCTGTAAGTGGACCAGGAAGGGAAAGCGGGGATAAAAGTTCGACAGATAAAAGTGCAGCTGAAGTGGAAGGTACCGAAGCACAACCTTCTACTTCTCCCACCAATTCAACCCAAGAGAATACCGGTGATAACAGTGCAAACGCTGAGAATGGTAGTACTACTGAAGGAAGTGCGTCATCAAATAACCCAGCTAATGAGGAATCAACCTCAACCACCACCACTACAACCACCACCACAACAACAACACTTCCTCCTGAACTCACAAACAACAAGAAGGGTGATGCAGACAGCAGCAGCAGCAGTATCAGCAGTTCTGTGTGGGTGCGTGTACCACTACTGATTGTGGTTACACTGGCCTGTATTCTTGTGTGCTGATTGTGGTGGTGGTGTGGTGTGACTCAGGTCATCCTTTGTTTTCTTTTGTTTTCTTTTTTTTTTTTTGCATACATTCCCTACAGTCTAACTAATCTTTCACCTGTTGGGATTTCTCTTCTTTTTTTCTGTTTCTTAATGATATTGTGTTTTGTGCGTTTTTGCTCTCTCTATGTTTATCCTATAATTATTATTATTGCTATTCCATTGTGTGTGTGTGTGTTCTTGGAGACTCTCTTTCTGTGTGTGCATCTGGGCTTGCACTGTGATGATGATGAACTGTTTTTTGCATTGGGGAAAAAAAGAAATAATAATAAGAGATGAATTTATATTTATAATTGCGTATATACATACACATATAGACTTACACCCATAGTTGGTGTGTATTTCTGTGTTTACTTGGTAAATTGGGCTAATGGTTAATATGTTTTTCTTTGCTTAATGATTTTGCTGGGTGGTTCAGTCTTTTTTGAGATATTTGTGTGTGTGGGCTTTTTTTTTTTTTTTTACTCTTAATGAGGTTATTGCGCTGTATTGGATTCTTTAACTGGTAGGTTTTGTTTTTGTGATGTGAGTTTCCATAGTGGTAATCGATTTGTGTGTCCTAACATGTTTGATACTGTTTTTTTTTTTTTTTCTTTTTGATTCTCTTTCTTTCCAGATCAGTGTTTTTACGCAAACCAAACTATTGTCTCTCTCTCATGATGATGATGATGCTACGCCGTGTGATGTGTGTGTTGGCCGTTGTGCTGTGCTGCGCCTGCGGGTATACCATGGCTGCTGCTGCTACTGCTACTACTGCTGGACAGCCAAAGACGGTGATGGCGAGTGGAGGTAGTGTTCAGGAATGGAGTGATTTTCTCGGAACAGCAGCCTGTAATTCTACATTAAGTAAAAGTGAAAAAACTGCTGGTGGAGTAAGTTGTGCGAATTGGACATCTCATGGGTTTGTTAAAGGAGTATCGGAACGTTCCAGTGGATCAAACTCAAACAGTCAAGTAAAAGGGGATGCACAAGAGAAAAAATTGGAAGAACAGAAAGATCCACAAGAGCTACAGAATGCTGCTTCTTCACTGCACGTAGGAAAGCAAGAGGGGAAGCTGGGGAATCAATCGCAAGGGGCTGAAGTGGATGCACGTGGTTCTCAATCAACCGTGAGCGATCCAGCGCCGACATTTTCCGGTATACCTGCGGTTTCTGGAGCACAAGATGGTGGTCATACTCACGTGGAGGAAGAACGTGAACCGGAACCAACAGAATCTTCGAAAATATCTCATAACGTTGAGGTGCCACAAGGTGATCAAGTAAAGCCGAGCAACACAGCTGATAACACTACAGCTGGCAACTCTAATCCTAACCAGCCATCTCCAGAAGCTGCAGGTGCAACTGCCGCATCAGACTCACAAGAAACCATTTCCACTACTCCGTCAAGCCCCGAGAACAATGTCAGTGATGCACCAACTACCACTCCATCTACTGTTCCTGTACCCAATCCAGAGATCATCACTATTGCCTCCGCATTACAGAACAAGGCTAATGTTGACAGCAGTATCAGTCCTGTGTGGATGCGCACTGCAGCACCGCTGTTGATTGTGGTTGTGTTGTTCTCCGCTACTGTGTACTGAACGGTGGGACTCATTTGAGGACAAATAATAATAATGGTTAACCTAACATAATCGTATTTGCGTACATTCCCCATGGGTGAATAAATTAATAATCTGTTTACCAGCTTTCTCTTTTAATTGAAATTTCTTTTCTTTTACTTTTGTGTGTGTGTGTTCTTTTTCTAATAATTTCCATTACTCGCTTTTCCCGTTGTGTGTTTGCAGAAAACTGGGCTGTTCTGCTCACTGACGGTATACATCTCTTGCTAGTACACACAGATGTGTGTGCAGTAATTTAATACATTAACTAGAGCCATGGGGTATTGTGTGTGTGTGTTTGGCTCTCTCTCTTATTTGGGTACTGTGGGGTCTTTTCTTTTTTTTTCTATTAAGGGGTACGTATTATCATACAAGCGAGTTATTCCTTTTTGTTGCTTTACTGTGCAGTTACTGCTTCTCTCTATCTCCCACTGTGAGTATTTGTTGTATTGGTTTATGTTTGTTTGTTTCATCTTAATCTTTTCCTTCTCTTTCTCTTTCTTGTATCAGTCTATTGAAGTAAACAACAACAATAACTAAGACTGTAATGGTGAGGTGTTACCTGCTCTGTTTACTAACGTTTGCACTGTGTTGTGCTTCTGGGTTGGCAGGGGCTGATAGTCCTAAAGCTTCTGATGCCCTTTTTTAAAACTTCCACTGTTGGTGTTCCTTCTCTTGTTCGTCGTGCTATTCCTGAGGATGCTGAAAGTTGGATAGTGAAAGAGGATGAGGAAGATGGTGATAGAATTGATGAGGATAGAGAAAGAAGAAGAGAACATGGGTCCGATAAAGTAGGAAAAACAACAATTAACACGTCATCAACAGTCTCTGGGTCAATGGGAAGTGAAGGTTCTCTCGGCCCTCAAGAGGTCCCTGTTAATTCCACAGTCCAGCAGCAACATCCACCACCACCTCTTACGGTTGCTCCTCTGGCTTCATCTCATGATGGAGCATCCGCTGAGGGTAAACCAGGTGCTATTGGTGTTGATGGTCTTCCTGGTAGTCCTGGAGTTGAGCGGAGTGATATGTCTGAGAGTAGCAGACTGGGGAAAAGTGATCCGTCCGTAAAAATGCCTGATAGTGGGCCA